ACATTGCTCAGAGAATTAAATGACTTTGGAAAGAGCTTGAAAACGTAGGGTAGCCTTCTTTGGGATGATGAGCAACTGAAGCCTGGGGGTTCCCTGTGCATTTCTGGGCTATGCCCAGTGTACAGAATATTGCAGCATTTTCCAGGCTGAGCTGCATTATTTTTTGCTCTGCTACATCTCCCCCATCCAAGCCATTGCTTCTGCAGACACACAAATAAATCACAGGCTTTAACAAGTTCGCCATCAGAAGTCTCTGTTTGCATGGGTATCCTTGTCCCCCTCACTGCTGTGGTTCCCTGAAGTTGCTGAATGCACCTGTGAGTCCCCAGGAGTGGGTGAGCCCTCTGGGGACCTCTTTGGTACTCCGGAGCTCTCCGGGCTGATGGGTGGCAGGGTGGTCTGCTGAAAGTGAATCAGATGTTACACACAGAGCTTTCTGGTCTGCCTGCCCTAAAGAAAACATTTTGCAAGAGAAAATATAGTATTCCAGAGGCTTATCTCACTTGGTGGCAATTCTGGGTGTATAATTGAAAACCGAGTTGATCATTAGAGGTTCACAGGGATGCTGAATAGCCCAGTGTTCAGTGGTCTCCGCCAGCCATGGCCAATTTACATTAAAAGCTTGATTCCTCCTACAGCCCACTTCTCAGCCCCTGGGAAATCTCTTCGTTGCTTACTCCTCCTTTGCAAGGACTGTCTAGAGTAAGGAGAAGTCCTGCCTTGCTCTGCTCTCCCTGCTGCCAGCACTTCTGCCCGGGATTTCAGGAGGCTGAACAGGGATCTCACTGGCAGTATGTGCTGCAGGAGTTTCAGCATTATCCACATGCCCACCTCTCCCCCCACCAAAAATTGATAGTCACGCTCTACGCACCATTCCCTAAACGATTTTTTTTAATTTCATAAAATTTGTCCTTTGGGGAGGTTTTGGGGAGGTTTGGGGGGGCTTTGGGGGATTTTGGGGTTTGGGGTTTTTTTCCCTTTTTTTCCCTGCATGAGAGGAGGCAAAAATGTGCTCTCCCTGTGCTCTCCCGGGAACTGAAGGGAAAACTGGATTACTAGCCGAGGATCTACAAAGCAATCGTGTGCTTATGCGCATATTACACTTGCTTGGGAGCAAAGCGTAAATATTAGAGCAACAATAATTACAATAACTGCCTGCCGAGAGCCAAAGAGCTTTAGGGCTGAGGATTAAATGTCATGTGCAAATGTTGTGGTCTGTGCTGGCAGAGGGACATCGGGCCTGGGAGAGACAGCGCTGCCGCCTTGCCTCCAATTGATCTTTCTTCCCTTTGGAACTCAGGGAATCGGGAACATCCCGGGAGCGGGAGCTCCCGGCCGGGTGCAGCGGGGCTGCTCCCTCCTCCGCCCCGGGGCCGAGAACGGGCTGCTCCTCCGGCCCCGGGAGCAGCCGAGCCAGGAAGAGAGGCACCGGCACCGACTCAGCCCTGCCCGGAGCCCCTCGCCCTGGCGGAGGTCAGAGATGCGGGGCCGGGGAAGGGGAAAGAGGAGCGGGACCCCGCAGGGGCCCGGCCGCTGGCCCCCGCACCTGCGGGTGAGGCTGGAGGGGGACGGGACACGACACCCGGGCTGTCCCCGGTGCCTGGGTTTGAAAGATCGCGGAGATATTTTCACACCTCAAATCGCAGTACCCCCCCCCCCCCCCCCCCCCCCCCCGGCCTCCCTCCAGCCCCCATCGCCTTGATTTAGCCCTTGGTAATTAATTTGGCATTTCAGAATAGCTACTGGGCTGGATAATGGCCTCATTCATCTCCCCAGCCTAATCTGAACAGAATCTGGAAGAAAAGCTTTCAGAAAGACAGAAACTGCCATTCGGCAACTGCTCAAAAGAACTGTCACTCCAGGGGAATAAATCGCTCCTGATTATTTCAACCCGGGTCTTCTCTGCTTTTCCAGCCGCTCCCGGTCCCCTCTGGGGGAAAGGCCCCCAGATACTTGAGGAGGCGAAGATCTAGTCGGGTTTTCCCCCTCCCTCCTCCAAAACCCAAGGCCGGGCGGTGGCAGGGGGAGGTGGGCCGGGGGCAGCGCATTGTTCCCGGGGAGGCGGACGAGCTCCGGCACCAGAAGCGATTTGACTTTTAAAACAGGCTCCGAGGGCTGCGGACGCCTTTCCCTCCACCTCGTTCCTTCACCGAGGCTTCTCCTGGCCAAGCGCGGGGGAAAGGGCCGCTCCGCTTCTCCCCGGCCATGCACCGAGACCATTCAGCCCCGGTGCCCGCTCTGCGACCGGCCCGACCCCGGGTCAGGCACTGGAGACACAGATGCTCCGCTCGCAGTGTAGGTAGCGGAGATGCTCCTGTCTCTGCTTGTACCAGTGATGCTCCGGCTCCGTTGCAGGTACCGGAGATACTAAAGATGCTCTGCTCCCAGTGCTTGTGCTGGAGATGCTCCCGTCTCTGTGCTGGTACCGTAGATACCGGAGAGGCTGGTACCAGAATTACCAGACATGCTCTGCTCCCAGTGCGGATACAAAAGGTGCTCCAGACCCGGTGCTGGTATCGGAGATACGGGAGATGCTCTGCTCCCAGTGCGGGTGCCAGAGATGCTCCGGCCCCGGTGGGAGCTAGAGCACGGGGAGCTGTGATCCACCAGCCAGGGCAGGGCCGGGGCGAGCTGGTGCTTAACGTCCGGAAAATCAAACCCGAAGTGGGGATCACGCCTGGTGGGGTCCACGGCCCGGTTCCCGAGCGTCCCCTACTCCATGCTCCCGGAACGGCCCCAGGCCCTCTGACCGGCTGGGGAGGACAGACACGGAACCGGGCCTCGTGGAGCTGCGCCTCGGTCCCGGCGGAGCTACTTACATGCATTTAATAGCTCGATGGCGAGGTAGAGAAAAGCCTCAGTAAATCACGTTAATGGCCGCAAGAGCCATTACAAACCGCGGGGGTTGTGAAACACCGAACAAACCCAGCGAGAAGGGCAGGAGAGAAGCGAGAGCCTCAGCCCGCGCCCCGGCAGCACCGGCCCCGGGCTCGGCAGCTCCGGGCGGTTGTTAAATAACACCCTGCTAATGGGATTAAGCAGCACCTCGGGTTTGCCTGGCAGTTTCGCGTGGGTCAGGTTTACTTAGTGTCCCCCCACCCCCATTTTGTTGTGAGGGACTGGGGGATCTTTAAAAACCCTCCCGGATTTTCAAACGCTGCAATTTCAGCCCTGCTCCCGGGGTCGTTCCGGGGCCTGAGAGAGGGTCCCGGGGAGCCTCTTCCCCCGAGGAGAACCGCCTCTTTCGCCGGGGAAATCGCTGGTCCCAGCGCAGCGCGGATACGCGTGGCCGCAGGAGAAGCGCCGGGCGGGCCGAGCGGGGCTCAGAAGCAGCGAGAGGTGATGTTCATAGCAGGCCCCCAAGGTGCGGGGATGGTATCTGTGGTTTCGGATCTGGGGCTCCCGCCTGGGCAGAGCGGGCGGCTCCGGGGCTGGGCTATCCCGGGGATCGGCCACTTCCAGCGGGGTCACTCGGACACAGGCTCGGGGGAGTTCTCCGGGGCTGGGATGCACCGGCACTGTGCGCGTGTGTGTCCTGGATGCGACCGAGCCCCTGGGCGGCTTGAGTGAGACCAGAGGGACCGGGATGCCCCCAGTCCAGGGCCGGCCGCATCCCCATACTTCCCTGCATTCCGCCGACGAAGGAGCGGCAAGGGCGTCGGGAGGAGGACAGAGGGGCTGTTCCCGGGGAAGAGTTAACAAATCCCAGCAGCAGAGGGGCTGGGGAGCAGGTCCGGGAGGGGACGATGGGGGCAGGGAGGCTGCGGAGCCCTGCTGCCCTGCAGGGAAGGCGGTTGCATTGCCAAAGACGCCCCGCTGGGCTAGCAGGCCCGGGAGCAGATTAATCAGGCACTAATTCAATTTACAACAACCACTTTTATTCAGCTCGGTGGCAAAGAATTCAAAGCGGGGAGAGAGACGGGCGGAGGGGAGGGGGCGGAGGCCGGCCTGGGGCTCGCCGCTGCCCGGGCCGTCCCCGTCCCCTCAGGCCGCCCCGCCGGGACTCGTCGTAGAGGGGACCGCGCCGCCGTGCCAGAGCCCGGCCGATTGAGTGACACGGTGCGGGCAGCGCTCCGAGCGAGGGCACCTCCGTTGGAAAAATAAAAGTGCCCTTTTAATGAAGGAGGGAGGGAAGGGGGGCGAGCAGGGCGGCCGGGAGCCGCGGGAAGGAAACTCCTCCGCTCCGTCCCGGCACCATCGCTCCGGAATCCGGCTACCGTCCCCCGCGGCTGGCATGTCGGGGTAGCGGGGATCGCGGGGGAAGAGCCGAGCCGGAACGGAGCCGGACGGAAGCAGCCGTCGGACATTGGGGTCCGCTGGGGCTTTCGGGGAGGGGATCCCGGGGCTGGGGCACGGCCCTGTGCGGGAGAAGTGCTGCCCTTTAACGCCTTTCTCGCTTTAACGGGAAAAGCTGCAAACCGACGCGGAGCGGCGAGAGGCGCCGCTCAGCCCCCCTGCCGCTCTATCGCCGGGGGGAAACCGCCTCTTCACCGAGATCAGACTGCTAAAATAACCTGCCGGGGCTCGCCAGGCCCCTTAGTCCCGTGTCATGCCCACGACTCCAGATGTCCCACAGCTAAACTTCCACGGCATCCGATTGCCGTTCCCGGGGTAGGGGGTCTCGGCCCAGAATCGCCGGCAGCGCCCTCGGAGCGGGCAGCTGCCCAGGCGGCTCCGGGCTCCGCAGAGGACTGGGGCTCTGCCCGAGCCCCTCCCGGCCCAGCCCCATCTGGCCTGGTAAAGCGGAGGCCAGCAGCCACCAGGTGTGATCGGGCCCGATCCTGTCTCTCCCGGCGTCCCCGCAGGTAGGCAGGGAGCTCCTCCCGGCGCTGCCCCCGTCCCCAGCTCCCGCGGAGGGGAGGAGGAGGGCCTTTCCCCGGCTCCTCGGGGCGCCTCGGGATTCCGGCGGCGGCGCTGGCGCCCATCGTCGCTGTATCGGGCCAGGCTCCGTCCCGCTCCCATCCTCCCCACCCCCCCTCCGCCCTCCCCGAGGCCTGTGCGTGTCTCTGGCTGAGCCGCCAGTGGATGTCGTTGTTCTGTTCCTTGAGCGCGATGTCACTCCTTTAGCATGACCTCAAACGCGGCGGGGGCTGGGACCGCCAGTCATCCTCCGTGCGAGGGCCGGGGCGGGCGCGGGCGGGACCCAGCCCCGCCGCCCGCCGCACTTTTGTGGTGCCGCCGCCGCCGCGGGCTCCCCTTTCTCGGTGGGGCTGGCCGCGGGGCGGGCGATGCTCCGCGCTCTCTGAGCCGCCGCACCGCGTCCGTCGTCCGTCCCTCCGTCCGTCCCCGCGGAGGCCGCGCAGGATGCTGCGGAGGGGCGCGGAGGCGGCGCTGGCCCTGCTGCTGGCGGCGGCGTGGCTGGCGCAGCCCCTGCGCGGCGGCTACCACGGCGGGAACATGTTCGCCGTGCAGACGGGCCAGCCCGACCCCTGCTACGACGAGCACGGGCTGCCCCGCCGGTGCATCCCCGACTTCGTCAACTCGGCTTTTGGGAAGGAGGTGAAGGTGTCGAGCACCTGCGGGAAGCCGCCGTCGCGGTACTGTGTGGTGACGGAGAAGGGCGAGGAGCAGGTCCGCTCCTGCCACCTCTGCAACGCCTCCGACCCCAAGCGCGCCCACCCGCCCTCCTTCCTCACCGACCTCAACAACCCGCACAACCTGACCTGCTGGCAGTCCGACAGCTACGTCCAGTACCCCCACAACGTCACCCTCACCCTATCCCTGGGCAAGAAATTCGAGGTGACCTACGTCAGCCTGCAGTTCTGCTCACCGCGCCCCGAGTCCATGGCTATCCACAAGTCCATGGACTACGGCAAGACCTGGGTGCCCTTCCAGTTCTACTCCACGCAGTGCCGCAAGATGTACAACAAGCCGAGCCGCGCCGCCATCACGAAGCAGAACGAGCAGGAGGCGGTCTGCACCGACTCGCACACCGACGTGCGTCCCCTCTCCGGCGGCCTCATCGCCTTCAGCACCCTGGACGGCCGCCCCACGGCCCACGACTTCGACAACTCGCCAGTGCTGCAGGACTGGGTGACGGCCACCGACATCAGGGTGACCTTCAGCCGCCTCCACACCTTCGGCGACGAGAGCGAGGATGACTCCGAGCTGGCCCGCGACTCCTACTTCTACGCCGTCTCCGACTTGCAGGTCGGCGGGCGATGCAAGTGCAACGGCCACGCGTCGCGCTGTGTCCGTGACCGCGACGACAGCTTGGTGTGCGACTGCAAGCACAACACGGCCGGCCCCGAGTGCGACCGCTGCAAGCCCTTCCACTACGACCGGCCCTGGCAGCGAGCTACGGCCCGGGAAGCCAACGAGTGTGTGGGTGAGTCCAACACCGCGGGCCCGAACACGGCGGCAGACGCGGGACAGGGAAGGGAGCAGGGCGCCGAAGTCCCCGGAAGGGCAGGGAGAGGGGAGAAGGAAGGACCCGACAAGGGACGGTGAGCGAAGGGCATGAGGACATCCAGGGACCCGGCAAGGGACCTTCGGGAAACGGGGAGCGGGCAGGAAAAGGCGAGGAAAAGGTATGGAGGCATCCAGGAGACGTCAGGGATGGTGAGGAAAATGCATGGGGACATGCAGGACCCGTCAGATACTGGGAGAGAAAGGCACTGGGACATCCAGGGACACGGCAGCAACGGGATGGTAAAGGCATGGGGACATCCAGGGACACAGCGAGCAGTGCGGGGACATCCAGAGACGGGGAGCAGGACACGGACACGCAGGGACATGAAAGGTAGGACAGGGAGAAGACACTGAGGTACTCGGGAACTTAGGGCAAAGGAGGGAACAGCGAGGGATGCTGAAGCGCGGAGCAGGGGACATGAATGTGCTCGGAAGCTCAGCGGACAGGATACAGAGGCGCTCGGCAGCGTAGGGCAGGGGACAGCGAGGTACCCGGGATCTCACTAGTGATAACACCGAAGGACCTCGAGGTGCAGAGCTGGGGTCAAGAGGAACTGAAAACCATCGGGCAGGGGACGGCGAGGCACTGGAATCTGGGGCAAGGGATACGGAGAGTCCCCGAGGCGTAGGACGGGGGACACAGGAGGCACCCGGGAACGCAGGACGGGAGCATCGGGGAACTCTGCAGCGCAGAGCAGGGGACAGCGGGAGACTCGGAAGCGCAGGGCAGAGGACAACAAGGAGCTCAGGAGAGAGGAGAAGGGACACAGGAGCTCAGGAAAACACCGCTCGTGTTTTGGGAAGCATTGGATAGGGTCTTCCTCCCGTCCCGGGCAGCGCCCGGCCGGGGGTCCCGCGGCGCACAGAGCGGGGTCCGGTCCCGGATCGGAGCTCTCCGGCAGCCGGCTTTCCGGGGACACAAGCTCAGAGCCCGCCGCTAAGCCTCCAGCTCTCCGGAAGGGCTCCGTGCTCGGACGGGACGGGGACGGGCTCGGGCTCCGGTTTTCCCCGGCAGGGAAAGGTGGTCGGCTTCGGGAACTCTCCCATCGCTGCATCCTCAGGGCGTGCGGGCGGCCCCGGGGACCTGAAAGAGCCCCAAGAACAACTGAAAACAGGGGAACAGCCCCTTCGCTCCTTTTCGGGAGAGAGCCTCGCGTCGTCCTGGCTCTGGGCGAGCCGCATCCTTCGGGCTGTACCCGAAGGGAGACGGGGGATCCCTCGCCTCTGCCCGGGGTGGCCAAGGGTGATGAGTTTGGGGTGTTCCTCCCCTCGAGTCCCCGCACAACCCGCCGAAGTCTTCCCTCCGGTTTTCCATCCCCCGCTCCCCAGCGGGCCTCCCCTGCGCCGCCGGTCCCCTCCTCGCCGCGGTTTAGGGGGCTGGTGACAGTCCCCGGGACCAGCCGGGTGCCGGTGGCCGTGGGTGACCGAGCATCGAGCCGCGGAGAACGGCCCCGGCACCCGCCGCCACCACCTTTTTTACACGGAAAACACGTCCCCGGCTTCCAAAATATCTGTAGCTTCGATGATAGGAAAAAAACACAAAACCTCCATCGAGAGGTTCGCGCTGAGCTTCTTAATTTTTTTGCCTTTGTCTGTTTTGGTTTTTGTTTTCGCCTTTCCCCAAATCACAATCAGATGTGTCCCTTGCAAAGGGAGCAATGTCTTCGCCGGCGCCTTCAGCAGTGCGGCACCGCCAAGCCTCGGTTATCTGGCGGGAGACGGGGACCCTATCCCGCGGGAGGGAGAGATGCGGGGTCCCGGTCCGGAGCCTCCTCTCCCCGCCGGGCTGTGGCTCCTTTCGGGGCCCCGGGGCGGTTTCTGGATGAGTGCCTCTTGGGTGGGTCGATAGTGCCGAGCAGCGATTTATCCCCATGCTGGCTTTTCCTCCTGCTGCCGGGATGGGGCTGCATGTCGGGCCCTGCGCTTCCTCTTCCTCAGCAGCAGGTCCGGGAGCAGGAGGGGCTCAGCTCCCCCACGGCTCGGTTCATCACTCCCTGGGTGCAGAGTTCCCGCTATCGCCGATGTCCGTATACATTTGGTAGGATTCCGGGGTGCTCTTGCATCCTCGGTCCACTCTACAGGCTCCTGAAGTGCTCCTCAGAATGTTCATCTCTGAAGCTAGCACCACGCACTTACCGTCCTTCTCCTTTCCAATTGACTTCCAATAAAAAGGGAACAAGTTCCCAGTTTCCAGTAAAACGTGTCACTTTTGTGCCAGGCTTCGCAGCTCAGACCATGCACAGTCCTGGCTGCGGCAGACTTTGCAAACCAAAATCACTCATTTTTTTTTTTTTCCCCTTTCCCGCTGACTTTGCTGGGAAGTGAATGTTTTGCAAAGATGAAGTTACCATAAAATAATTCTCCCCAGCCCATTCCCCAGGGCTGTACCTGTCAGTCTGCAAAACCAACCACGGCCAAACAACTGCGTGGTCCTGCCAAGCCCACACTGCCTAGAATAATCCTCCTAGATAAAGATCACAATAACCCTATTCAGCACTCACCCACTTGCTCATGACCATCGGCCCACCCCGGTTTATCTCCGAAATCCAGAGACAAGGTCGGGCTTTGCAGTCACCCGAGGGCTCAGGACATGGCCTCCGGTGGGCAGAGGCAGGGGATGAGCCGTGGGTAGGGGGGTTGGAGAGATCTTCCGCCTCTTGAGAGGGAAGCCAGAGGATCACAGAATCATAGAACGGTTTGGGTGGAAGGGACCTTCAAGGCTCATGGAGTCCCACTCCCCTGCAATGAGCAGGGACATCTTCAACTAGATGTAGAAGGCCAGAACCTCCTGAGCAGGTGTGGCCAGGGGGGCGGTGAACTATCCAGATGAGCTGAATGTGCCCCAAGAAGTGCTCTAAGAGCTGATTGTTTTGTTGGGTTTGTGTTTTTTTTTTTTTCACTGATTTTGCACTTCTTTTTTTTTAAAAAAAATTGGTCTGGGTTTTTTTTTCAGGCAGTGAGAAAAATGACAGAATGTGCCTGCTTTGCTTAAAAATTTGGGTGTTTTCTTTGGTAAGCCCCTTCCCAATGCCAAACCCGAATCTTTGTTCCTATTCATGCTTATTTGGGGCTGGGAAAGGAACGCGCTGGGGTTTCTGACAAAAAGTCAAAATTTCCCACGGGAACGTTTTTCGCCAGCCAGATCTAATTTTTCTTTATCACATCTTGCTGCCTGCAAGAACCCGGGCACCGCACATGGAGGGGACAGGGCTGGCCCAAGATGTTCTCCAGGGACCTCTCCTGCAGGAGCCTGGACAGCAGAGCTTTGCACATTCACACTCCCATCAACTTTACCTGGCAAATAACTCATCCACGTAGAGCTTGGCCTTACAGTCCGGCTTTGGCCGGGTGCCTGGGAGCTAACATGCTCCAGGGAGGACACAGCTTGGAGACAAACTTGGAGGTCTGCTCTCCATCCTTCCTCTCCCCAGTGCTGGCGGGCTGGCTTCATTTGCTGGCTTCATTAGGTCCAGCCTAAGCCCCTTGTCTCCAACCCAGTTTGTCCTGATGAAGTTTCCAGCTCTCCTGTGAGAGGAGATTGCAGCTGGAAAAGGCCTGAACTAAGACGCTGTCAGAGCTCAACTGCTGGTGAGCTGGTGTGGACACATGAAAACACAGGCAGGGCTTTGGCCAGTTTTAGAGACGCCAATAAAGTCGATCAACACCATTCCACAGTTCCTCATGAACCATGGTGTTATTTAGAATGATGCTTTTGAATACACCCTTTGGCTTGCACAAAATACCTTTGCATTTGCCTTAGCTGGAGAAAGCGCTGTGAGACAAACCCAGGCTGCAGCCCACTGAAGCACGTTGGGAGCGACCTCCAGACTCCATTCCCAGTGCCGGTAGCTCTGGGGCTCCGCAGCCCTTTCCCCCTTGGGGCCGGGAGATGCACCCAGCACTTGCACCTGTGCCTGATGTCAGCACATCTGCAGGTGCCGGGTTCTGCTCTGATGTTGGCCCCTGTGTGGTGCCCAGAGAGTGTTTAATGATCACAAGTGCAACTGCAGTGAGAGAAAGGAAACACTATGTGTTTGCATATGGGATTTAGCACAAGCCACACATGAAGCCTGGTGTTCGGCTCTGCTCCGCAGTGTGTGCTGCAGTTGGGCTCGCAGGCTGGGATGTGTCTCATGTCAGAGCAACCTGTAAGCAAGTTTCTCCTCCAGCTAAAAGGAAACTTAGACAAGGAGGGGACCAGGAACTGCTAAAGAACAGTGTGCCAAACACTTCCAATGAAAGACTTCCTTCCAGACAAACCTGGGGCTTTCTCATCTCAGTGGTGGCCCAGGGTATTTGAAGGGCAGAGCGTACAAAAACAGCTTGTGGGCTCCCTTCCATCCTCATCATAACCAGGGAGATCAAATCCTTCCCCATCTGTCAGTTCTTCTCATTCTGGTCCTGCAGAGGGATGTAAAGTGTAGGATTTCATCTCAGGGGCTTCCTGGTGTCAGAGACAGGTAGCTTTTCAAATCCATCTGTGCGGGATGTGTGAGTGTCCCCAGGGCTTACCTTCTTCCAGAGGGAGGTGGAAGGATGCAAGTATTGTAAAGCAGCAACAATTCTTATCTGAGCAAAGAGGTTCCAAGTAGGATTTTCAAGGTGTCCCTGCAGGATTCCCAGTGTGCCGGTGAAGGATCTTCAGGGTGCAGCATCCTCTGCCTGTGGGATGAATGCTGCTGCCTGGGCTGGGCAGCACAGCATGACCATGTCTCTAGATTGAGCCAGCCAGCTTCCAGGCGGATTTTGGAGGTGCTGTGTGCTGATACTACCCATTCCCTTCTGATGACATTAGGGATACTCATAATTTCTGATCTTCAGGTTTGCCTTGTGCCTCAGTTTCCCCATTTATTGAGAGTAAAGGGGAGCTGTGCAGAATGCTTTGGATTTGGGGTAAGGAAGGTGTGAAGCAGTATC